TCTCACTGATCTTCTTCACGAGAAGAATCAATAGTGCTATGACCAATGCAATCAAACTACAAAATAAAATAGAAAAAACTGTTGAGCATAACATGTTTAACTCGAACTGTAGCTTATCTCCAGCGACTGCTGGTATCAAATCTGGTCAAAGTTGAAGATTCGCGTGTCGGATCGGACAACTTCAAACAGTAGAAAACAGAAAGAAGAGGAACGAAGCGCAATCGGTATGAGAATGAATGAACAATGAAATCAGCAAAGATAGACTGTAATTTTAAGTTGAAATACACTCGATTGTCTCCACCTGTGTTCTGTTCACTACACTATGAGTGAGACATCTTAGATATCTATCTCGACAAATTGACGATATAATTTTAAGTTGGAATAGAAATCGAAGATTTAAATCAATCTGTTAATCAGTCAGAAATCCGATTTCGCAAAGTTCTTCTATGACATAACAATCAGTCAAGTTGGAGAACAATCTAAATGAAGTACGTTTTATTAAATTAGATTTTTGGAAAGAGAATAGGCAAATGTATGTGAAATGATCATTAGAAATTGTTACATAAATAATTACAAACACGACATTCAGTGGATATTTCTCACTGATCTTCTTCACGAGAACAATCAATAATCCTATGACTAATGCAATCAAACTACAAAATAAAATAGAAATAACTGTTGAGCATAACATGTTTAACTCGGACTGTAGCTTATCTACAGCTGATATCAAATCTGGTCAAAGTTGAAGTGTCCGGAAAATGTGGGAGTTCGGGAAGTTCAGTCAAATAGCAACAGAAATAAGGAGATACAACATGGTGGTGGGTAGGTAAGTAATAAGAACGTAATAACATGTTAAATAGTGGATAGATGTTAGTTCAATGTTGGAGATTTTCGCATATTCTTAAGAAGTGTCTTACATCAGGTTATGAAACCTCAGAAATACGATTTCCTACTCTCTGATATAATAATAATACAATTTCTATCCAATACTCAATTTATTTGAAACCACTTATTTCATCCGAAGCAATAATTCCTGCTGTTTCTTGAAGTTTAACTTCACTTGATACAGTTTACTCGAATATATTCCCATTGTTGCTTACCATTGCAATTCATCAGTCTCTAATTGGCTTATGAGCACACTGTGCATTGCTGATAATTACCGAGTAATTGTATCGCTTTGCAAAAAGGAAATATGCAAATACTTTTGATACTACAAACTATGTATTTATTCAATGGAAGGATGCTTAAATTTTCAGTAGATTATGACGACCAAAGTCAGATAAAGCTCTCTACTCTCCCCGTTCCTCCTTTTCACTGATGATTGACTGGATTATGAAGACTTCCACATCTGAGCGGTAGCACGGAATACATTGAAAATCTCAGAATCAGTGTGATGATTTGAACTTGGCAGATGACCCAGCCCTCCTATCTCAAACACATAAACGATTGCAGATGCAGACAACAAATGTAGCAGCAGCCTGTGCATCAATAAGCCTCAACATAAACAAAGATTCTCAAATACAACACGGAGAATAATTTGTTAATAAATGACAAAACGTACAGGAATAAACCAGCTATAATGGATTCCATCGGTTCCTCGATTTTTGGAAAATTTATCCCACTACATAAAGATAAATATCAATATTGGTTCAATAATTTACGGTACTGGCGAGAGCATTATGATGACAAATGTAATTGATATCTGTATTGTAACATATATAAGCACCTGTTCTTGTGAATGACTTTCAATGATAAAGTACAATTTACTGTTTTGGTGTATGTGGATACAATACGTAGACGTTCAACAGGTTCCATGACATTGACTCCTTCTCATTCAGCATATTCAACAATAGGAACCATTACTCATAAGATTTGTCTACAATAAACAGTAAAGTAAACAGCAAATTTCAACTATTCATTGATGAATATTCTGTAGTGAACGAGAACACAGATGAGTTTAACCAAATGCTTTACAGAGGAGGGTTTGAGTGTGGTGTGTGCTACGGATATCTGTTGATATCACTAATATGGATCATCAATCAGAAGTGAAATACCAGGAGGCAGAAGGTTAAGGAGATCGAGTAGAAGAGAAAGAGAACAGAGAAGGAAGAATGAAGTGTGAGACGATTGATTGACATTTTGCGAAGGAAGTATTCACTGTATAGATCTCTGATTTGGTTGTCCTCATTGGTTTTCTCGTTCACTACAATACTATCTACAGTCATATTAATAGTTGCTTTACATCCAATTACAGATGTCAAACGCTATGTTTTGACTTGATAGTTTCAAATAAATTGAGCATTGAGTAGAGAGTTAACACGAAACATATTTTACTGTTATATCCCACTGGGTAGAAAAATTATACTTCTCATGTTTTGTGACCTAATGCAAGCTAGTTCTACAGAGTGAATACACCTGGTTATTCTTGTAATGAAGAAAAAAACAAATGGGGACAGTCGAGCGTATCTGAGAACCATACAATAAATACTTCATCTACAAAATAACAATCAATTGTCTGATACTTGACTGTTCATTCTACAAAATGTCAATCACTCGTCTCAGTCTTCATTGTCCTTTCTATGCTATGCCAATCATTCTTTGTTCTCGTTCTGTCTTCTCTCGTGTTTTCAAACTTCTGCTGTCAGGCATTTCACTTTCCATCGATGCTACATACTACTTACCTCTGTCGACAACAGTAGCACATTGCTCACGTATTTATGATTATCAATTATTTCAATAACCTATTGAAAACTAAATTCACTTGATGTTGTTTACTTGTATCTTCCCATTGTTATTTAGGACTGCAATCGATCAGTCTCTTGTGACTTCAGGCAATATCGAGGCAGTCCGCACAGTATGCAGATATGCCAACATGACACTGATCAATCGCAGTCCTAAATATTAATGGGAAAATACAAGTAAACAACACCAAATTATTTTAGACGTCATACCATTGCACAAGCAGGTGTCTATCAGAACTCAGTTGCTAAGTGGATAATGCGATGGGAGAAAAATTGAGAACAAGAAATTCATACATTAATGACACGGATGACTGAGGCTTACCTGTAGTGTTGAATGAACCGATCTCAGTTCGTAGTCAGATTCAAAATATCCACACACATCAAATAGGTTGTATTGAATACTTTGTTTATCTATATTATGTGTTTAAGTTTGACCAAATGTTCAAGAATAAGAAAATTGACGCTTACATTCCTTAACATAGTTCATACTCTTATATCAGATCAAGGTTCATTTACAGGTAACAATAAATGATAAAAACTCATGATAACAATGACGATCGAAATGTGATACAAACATAAGCTATTGGTCTACTATGTATGAGATCATAATCATTATATATTGCCCTTCTCAATCACTCTCTTAATTGTCCCTTTTCATCAATATCATTGCGTGTTAAATTTTATTTGAACAGTTTTGTGATTAGATACGAAGACTGTTGATTTCATTTCATAAGACACAGATGTCTGTTACTCCATTCATCTATTTAATAACTAGAACACACCAGATATATTGTAGTGAAGTAGAACACAAGCGATGACAATCGACTGTATATGAACATAAGATTGCAGAACGTGTTAGCAAAATCTCAGAACCATACAGTAAATACTTCATTTACGAAATGTCAATCAATGGTCTCAGACTTCATTGTTCCTTCTTTTAGTTCCGGTTCTCTACTCCTCAATCTCCTCGATCTTTTACTAATAGACATTCTATTCCTGATCAGTGTTGTATATTACTTACGTCCTTTACATTTTGCCGATATCAACAAACTAAATATATATTGCTATGCTAGTTAGTACAGATCAAGAGTGAGTCTAGTGGCATTTCCAAGTGTAATATCGTCATGTCATTTTCTATTATATCATCCAAGAGAGATCGCATCTTCTTGATATAGTGGGTCAATCAAATATCAATAAAGTGATAAGCACACGCAAACGGCTTTCAGTTTTAGGAAATAGGCCACTTGCCATTGGTTGAATATTTGACTTTACCGTCTGAGTGACAAGATAAATACATATGAATCATTGTAAACATATTCGACGATTTGGTTGACAAACGAAACTTCTTACAACGATTTTGGTTTCCTTACTATAGTATCTGGCTTGAAGACAAACCTAAAGGAAGTCTGTGTATTGGTATTGAAGTTGGCGATTAATTGACACAACGCTATTTACATACTTGACTCGAAGAGATATTCTAATGAATTAGAATATTAATATATTTGTTACTTTTCTGTCTAATCCATGGATTGTTGTAATTTACATTCTTGATGTAAATGAAGTTCTGAAAATTGGACTGAACCATGTTGATAGGTGTAGACTACCTGGTTGGGATTAGCGAGATGATAGCAACTGATGAAATGGCTCAAAATCATTTGCAATGGCGAAGGTGCATCCACTCGTTGTGTTCTGCCAAATTCTAATCTTCTGAATTCTTCATCTATCTATCTATATTTCTATCTTTACGATTTACTGTTCCTAAATTATATACAGTTTATTGATTATTGAATCCCACATTCACAGCGACATTTGGCTTGATCTTGTACAAATTTTATTTTCTATTTTATAGTGTGATGCGGTCTATCTCCGTGGTATATAAACGGAGTATGCTTGAAATAAATGATTCGCAAAGCAGAAGCTGTAATTGGTGTTCTAGACTCAATTGGAAGAAGTAGGCGGATAAAGGACGCTAGACTATTCATACCAGTTGAATGTCATTGATTTATCACATTATTAAGATCGGAAAAGTTGTATTTCCATTAATGAATAACTCACATGATAATAAACTGGACAAAGAATCAACAGCAAGTTGTCATACATCTATCTTTTTATAAAGTCATACGAACGTCTAGACAGTTAAGTTGCAAACCATCAATCAATTGTCTCAATCTTGACTGGCTGGAACAATCGTTCCTCAAAGTCCTGCCATGCCAGACAGGTCGGTTGAAGAGCGATAAGACTAAAAGCAGAAATCCCAAGGTCCGAAGGCGAAGTCGTACTGCCAACGAACGTCAAGACATTCAAGATGCAAACTGTCAGTCAATTTTCTCAATGTTAACCATTCCTTCTGCAAATATCAGTCCATAGTCAATTGAGCTTCTTTTCTTTCGTTCTTTATCTGTCTTCTACTGAAATACATTCACTGCCCGACCTTCGTTACATACTACTTATGTGGATATAGGTTAACCATACTATAGAATTAGCAGAAAAACAATCCATCATAATACGAAAGTAGAATTTCATTTTTTTCGATGATGCGCTGGAAATTGGTAATGGAATGACTGCTTGCGTACTGGCTAGTATCTCACAACAACCATCCTGTTTGCTGTTACACAATAAACCAATCGTTGCTCCAATCAAACAAGTTACGATGGGAAACGTTTTGAGAAAGAACTTCCCAATTTCTGCTATGAAGTTACTTTTCCATACAGATTTGATGGCTGTGTTATATTATATTAGGAATACTGAGTGTCGACACAGTACTTTCATAGTTAGTCACCAAACAGTAGTGCATCATTCTACGGCAATTGTAAAGTGGAGTTATAGTAGTTCTGTATACAAGCCAGAGGACTGGACTTCAATAGATTTACAGAATGTACTTTATCTTGATACCTGGTTTGAATTTCCAATCCTATTGAATGGAGACGATTCAAAGAAGACAAATAAATCTCCGGAACCCGTACCTAAGAATATTGAGTTTGAAAAACCTTTTCTACACTTTCTTTTACAATTTGAAGTGGAGTGTTTTTACAAAGATGTTTTTCGTCAATGTCGTCGTTTTGGTTTTGTTAAACTGAGAAGGGAGTTATATAAATATACCCATGAGGGTTCGTTTTTAAAAAAAATGCTAACATGATAATAAATAAGATCGTTGATTTGATATGTTATTTCTGTAAATAATGATGTACAGATTTAAAGACTCAAGACTTACTAGCTAAGTGGTTAACATGATAACATTTGATGGGAACGGTACTGGGTTCGAGTCCCAAAGTGAACATCAACTCTGACATTCAGTCAGTCAGTTACAATGTAGAACATTAAACGTACGTACATCAGTTCGAGTTGCTATACCACATTAGCACAGAGATGCAGTTGTCGATTCAAATCTCATAGTGGTAGAAGTAGTAGGAGTATAATCAGAAATCCAAAAGATTAGGGTTTGGCGAAATTATTGAGGGATTATAGTACAGTGAAATAAATATGAATAGAGAAAAAATAGAGACATTAAGAACTCAGAAGTTTAGAAGTTGGTATAACACAAAGAGTGGATGCACCTTCGCCATTGCAAACGATTTTGATCCATGTCATTCAATGTCTTTAACTATCGGTTGCTATCATCTCTCAAATCCCAACCAGGTAGTTTACACTTATTAACATGGCTCAGTCAAATTGTCAGTGACTTCATTGATTTGTACAACGTTTTGGTCTGACCGCCCCTAGATTTCTTCCAATTTACTCCTACACCATAGAACATTGCACGTCGGAGCAGTCGGTGGTTGGGCATATGCAACACGTGTCCCAGCCATCTCAACTGATGAAGTTTCTCTACTTCATCAATCGATTAGCCATCCTTACCTAGTACTCGTTTCCTAACAACTGCATTACTTACTCGGTGGTCCCAGGATATACGAGCAATGCTTCGAAGACACCTGTGATCAAATACCAGTAGCTTACGAATATCCTCTACTCTTATCAGCCATGTTTCACTGCCATAAAGTAGGACGGAGCGAACTGCTGCATAGTGAACACATCCTTTGATTGCAAGACGGATATCTCGCCTACGCCATAAATGACGCGGGTTTGCGAAAGCTAGACCATTAATGGGGAAATGTTATCTAGGTTACACACAGTAGTAGATCTAGGACTTAGGTACTTCGACGACTTGTCGTTTACTGAACAGATAATGAAACAAACGTCCAAGTCTCAACGCCTTATAGGTTACATAACTCGAAACCTTCATAACTGCGAATCCCGTATTCTAATGTACAAAGTCTGTGTTCGACCACTCCTCGAATACTGGGCGTTTCTCCTTAGTAGCACGCGCATAAAGGATAAATTAAGACTGGAATCAGTACAGAGACGTTTTACAGTTCGTACTCTTGGAACCGATAGTTTCTTGACTCATAATTCCAGGTGTAGTAAACTAGGGCTTGACCCTTTACGGAAGAGAAGACTCAAAATAACCTTATCTTCTTTTGCGAAATACTTAACAAACTCTCCTGCACATCCAGTCAGGCGATTCAATAAGCTAATGCCTCATATTACTACATTCGTAACTCCTTGTCTTTAGCGAAACAAACATATCCTAGATAATCTCTCTATGTGAATTACTTTACCTGTAAGTTTTCAAGGCTCTGGAATAATTTGCCTCAAACTATTCGTATGTTAAAATCTCCCCCATTGTTTGTTCGCTCAATTAATGCCTTTTGCTTTTCTGAAAATGCATTAAATGCCCCAGCGCCTGCAAGTGTATCTTACTCCGCAAGTGAGATTATCGGATCTTTAAATGTTAAACCTCTTACTTGCTATCCTTGTTCTGTTGTTCCGTGCTCTTTGCTTTTATCTTACTTTCTCTAGTTGTAGATTACTTACTTACTTACTTTCGCCTGTTACTCCCAATGGAGCATAGGCCGCCGACCAGCTTTCTCCAACCCACTCTGTCCTGGGCCTTCTTTTCTAGTTCTTTCCAGTTCTTGTTCATTCTTCTCATGTCTGTCTCTATTTCTCGGCGTAATGTGTTCTTTGGTCTTCTCCTTCTCCTTCGACCTTCAGGATTCCATGTGAGGGCTTGTCTTGTGACACAATTGGGTGATTTCCTCAAAGTGTGCCCAATCCACTTCCAGCGCTTCTTCCGGATTTCTTCCTCCGCTGGAATCTGGTTTGTTGTCTCCCACAGTAACTTGTTGCTGATAGTGTCTGGCCATCGGATCCGAAGTATCTTGCGTAGACAGCTGTTAATAAACACTTGTATCTTCTGGATAATGGTTTTCGTAGTTCTCCACGTCTCTGCCCCATACAGAAGAACTGTCTTGACATTTGTATTGAAAATTCTAACCTTGGTGTTGGTTGACAATTGTTTTGAGCTCCAGATGTTTTTCAGCTGTAGGTATGCTGCTCTTGCTTTGCCTATCCGCGCTCTCACATCTGCATCTGATCCACCGTGTTCATCAATGATGCTGCCCAGATATGTAAAGATTTCCACATCCTCCAAAGCTTCTCCGTCAAGTGTAATTGGATTGGTGCATATTGTATTGTATCGGAGAGTCTTGCTTTTCCCTTTGTTTATATTGAGACCTACTGCTGCTGAGGCTGCTGCTACACTGGTCGTCATCTCCTGCATTTGTTGTTGCGTTTGTGATAGAAGAGCCAGATCATCCGCGAAGTCTAAATCGTCAAGCTGCATCCTGCCTGTCCACTGTATCCCGTGCTTTCCTCCAGATGTTGACGTCTTCATAATCCAGTCGATCACCAGGAGAAAGAGAAAGGGTGAGAGTAGGCAACCTTGCCTAACACCGGTCTTTACCTCGAACGAGTCGGTGAGTTGTCCTCCGTGGACGATTTGGCAGTTTAGGCCATCATAGGAGTTCCGTATGATGTTGACTATCTTCTCAGGCACGCCGTAGTGTCGAAGAAGCTTCCATAGTGTCGTCCTGTCCACGCTATCAAATGCCTTCTCGTAGTCGATGAAGTTGATGTACAGTGATGAATTCCATTCGATTGATTGTTCCACAATGATACGTAGAGTTGCGATTTGATCTGTGCACGATCTATCCTTACGAAATCCAGCTTGCTGATCTCGAAGTTGAGCGTCCATGGAATCCTTCATCCTGTTTAACAATACTCTGTTGAAGACTTTTCCTGGTATTGAGAGGAGAGTGATGCCCCTGTAGTTGTCGCACTTGCTAAGATCGCCTTTCTTTGGTATCTTGATGAGAAGTCCTTCTTTCCAGTCTGTTGGTACATGTTCTTCGTCCCAAATCTTACCGAAGAGGATGTGGAGTATCTTGGCAGTTGCTGTTACATTTGCTTTCAGTGCCTCTGCCGGGATGTTGTCTGATCCCGCTGCTTTGCCACTCTTGATTTGTCTAATGGCCATGCTGATCTCTTCAATTGTTGGTGGGCCAATATCGATTGGGAGGTCTGTGGGTGCTGCTTTGATGTTGGGTGGGTTCAGTGGAGCTGGTCGATTCAAGAGTTCCTTGAAGTGTTCTACCCACCTGTTTCGTTGTTCTTCAATATCGTTGATTACTTTGCCTTCCTTGTTTTTCACTGGTCTTTCTGGCTTACGGTAATTTCCAGCAAGTTTCTTTGTTGTATCATACAGTTGTCTCATGTTTCCCTCTTTTGCAGCCTTTTCCGCTGTCATCGCTAAATCTTCCACATATTTACGTTTGTCGGTTCTGATGCTCCTCTTCACTTGCTTGTTTGCCTCTGTGTATTCGGCTTGTGCCTTGGCTTTTTCTGCTCTTGTTCGGCTGATATTGATTGCTACCTTCTTGTTCCTCCTTGCTTCAATTTTATCCAGTGTACCAACAGTGATCCATTCCTTGTGATGGTGCTTCTTTTGGCCCAGAACCTCTTGACATGTTGAAACGATTGCCTCCTTGATACCTTTCCAGCTGCTCTCTATGCTGGTTCCCTCTCCATTGAGTAGGTCATGAAAGGCCTCGAACCTGTTGCTGAGGGCTATGTTAAATTCGTTGAGTTTGTCAGCATCTCGAAGAAAGGCCGTGTTAAATTTTGTGATGTTGTCCGCGCCATTGTCCAGTGCTTCTTGAGTTTTAGTTTCATCTTGGCGACCAGCAAATGGTGATCGGATGCTATATCAGCTCCTCTTCTGGTTCTCACATCCTCCATCGTCCTCCTGAACTTTTTGTTGATGCAGATATGGTCGATTTGATTTTGTGTAGTGTGATCCGGTGAAATCCAAGTGGCTTTGTGTATGTTTTTGTGTGGGAATATGGTGCCACCTATGACCAGTTTATTGAAGGCACATAGGTTTGCAAATCTCTCACCATTTTCGTTCCTTTCTCCCAATCCATGTTGTCCCATGACGTCTTCGTATCCAGTGTTGTCCATTCCAACCTTGGCATTGAAATCTCCCATTAGAATGGTCAGGTCCTTGGTTGGGCACTTCTCGAAGATTGACTGCAGCCTATCGTAGAATTGGTTTTTAGCGTCTTCATCGTAGTCGTTGGTCGGCGCATAGCATTGGATGATGTTCATTGTAATGCCCTCTCTCTTTGTTCTGAAGGAGGCTTTGATGATCCTCGGTCCATGAGATTCCCATCCTATAAGTGCATTTTGTGCTTTTCTAGACAGCATCAATGCAACTCCTTGTGTATGTGGGGCATTTTCTTCTTCATGACCGGAGTATAACAGAAGTTCCCCTGAAGACAGTCGTTGTTGTCCAACCTGCGTCCAATGTGTTTCACTGATTCCAAGCACTTCCAGGTTGTATTTCCTCATTTCCGCAGAAATTTGGAAGACTCTGCCGGTCTCCCACATTGTCCGGACATTCCATGTACCTATAAAAATTGTCGCTCTGGTTGTAAGAAGGTGCATCGGCCTCATGACTTCCGAATGAACTCGGCTTTCATCATGAGACGTCATTTTTCCTTCTACTCCCAGGGCAGAGTTTGAATGGTTTGAATGATTTTTTCTGGTTAGCGTTTTTTTAGCGAGTTGATTTTCTACGGGATGGGGTCGCTAACCCCATGCCCAACCCTCCTCCTTTACCCGGGCTTGGGACCGGCAGTAACCCCTGGAGGAGCTACAGGCAGAGTTTCTAGTTGTAGATAATCATCAATAACTCGCTCTGGCACTGGAAATAACCTTACAGAACAATGCTGATTAATCATCAGGCTATCCACTTAATAAAAAAATGACAAGTTCCTTGATGTTGCATTGGCTTGCCGTGACATATGCCATATTTAAACTATTTATCAATTACTAAACCAGCAAACATAAAACTTTCTTATATTTCATGCTTGTTCTCTACACTAAA